CACCTGCCTGCTCCATGTACCTCCATGCAGGTCCATGTACAGGCTGGAGGCTTCCAGCCTTTGTCCCCTATTACCTATTAATAGTCCATAGGGATTCCTTTCCCTCAGGAAGGGATCTCTTCTTCATGCATAGCAATACATGGTATCACATCCGATCCCTTCCTTCCTTCAAGTAAAATTGTTGCATAAACATGACAACCTCACTCGCAATCATGCCGTTTCTATTACGGCGTACCGTAATAAACTCTAGGAAACGGTTGTGTTTACCGATGCCTTGTGTCTCCTTCTCGGCTTGTAGAAGGGCATTGGCATAGAAGAGATCGCGGGCAGCCTGTACCTTCTTGAAGCGTAACTGACACATGGATTTGTAGGCGTCGGAGTGGCGGTTCTTGGTCAGGTACCATCTAGGGGACTCGGGACACATGTAGCAGCATGCGCAGACAAAAACAGCAGGTAGCATGGCGCTGCCCATCATCAGCCTCCAGTTAAGGCCGACAATACCACCTCTGTCAGGCACGTAGTAGAAAGCCAAATCGGCAACGTATCCCATCATAATGCCAAAGGCTGTCCAAAGTTGCCATTGCATAACGAGGGCGCCACGCAGGCGAGGAGGCGCACATTCGGCGGCGAAGATGGGAGTGGTGGCAGACTTGGGTCCAATGCCGAAACCGAGGAAGAAACGAGCGATGAACATATGCCACCAAGTATTGGTGAAAGCCTGCCAGAAACAGGCGAGGGCAGAGATGAAACAGGAGATAAAGACGGTACCACGGCGGCCGAACCGCTTGTTCATAGGTTCTGTAAGCCAGCAACCGATGACGGCGCAGCAGAGATATGGAGCAGAGTTTGTCAGGCCAAGGAGCCAGGTGTCTCGCTCAGTCTCTCCTCCGATGCCGAACTGCTTTTTGTAGAAGGACTGGGCGCCATTGACAACAGTCTCGTCCATACCCTGGACGACGGCGCAGAATGAACAAACTTGGGAAGGGTCAGCCTCTGTACGTAGAGAGGAAGGCGGAGACGGGGAGAGGCTGGAGAGGTATGACTTAAACAAGACAAAGAAAAGGTAGAAGTAGAAGAAAGAGTAAAGAGACCGGAAGACCGACCGGCAACAACGCCATAGAGCATCTTGGGGTTCCGCCACTTGTGAGTAGACTCGCCGTCAAGCACTGCTCGTTCATCGGCAGTGATCTCCGTCATGCTATCGTACTTGTTCATATTTCCAGCGATCATGGCGCCAAGGCGAAAAGCCCGAATGTCTTCTTGGTCGGTAATGCCATGTTGTTGACAGTAGTCCTCGCCTTTTCGACTCAACTGTTCGGGCGTGAAGCCGGCAAGAGGGTTCTCCAGCTTGCGCGAAGCCTCTAGACGCTTTCGCTCTTCCTCATCAACCGCCGTGGCCTCGGACGGTCGTCCTGGATGGTCCAAGTGAGCGTAATCGGTCTCGGCATGGTCTGATAACGATTGGTCGCCAATCTTTTCTCGCTTCGGATCCGAGGCCATATTGACGGTGACGACAATTGAGACTCAGCTTGGTAGAGAAGATAATGGTATGCCGGTATTTGGGGGGTGAACCCAGCTGGAAGTCTGGGCACTGCCACGAGGGGGGAACGTCCTGGCAAAGGGGTGCAGGTGAGAAACTGTAGAAGAAATGGGTAGGTAGAATTGAAATCCAAGACAGCCAAGGTAGCCTCCCGGCTTGGGACAGCTTGGCTCCTTATGTACTGAGATAGTCGCCAAGGAATGGAAACTGAAGATAGGCAGCTTTGTTCAACGACGTAATCGGAGACTTCTCCGTCAAGCTTCACCTCGAACGACACCGAGAAGGTGGAAGGCTAGCGCGGTCGCACCTATGGATTGAATGGAAAGCGGGGATGGGGTTGAATGCGGGGAAAAAACACGCAAGAATTGGTAAAACTATGGGACAATGGGAACTGGAACTGAAGCAGCAGATCGGCAAGTTCGTTCGCACTTACCGGCAGGCGTTGGAGGATCTTGGACGACGTCATGACGCTTCCCATGTCTGCGCTTGCAGACGGTGTGACAGGGAGGATAGCTTCATGTTGGAGAATGATCGTGTTGGCTGTTGGAGCGAAAGGAGGAGGTCGGCACTCGTGAGGCAGGGTGTGGTAAGAGCAATCTCACTTAGATGTAGATATTTTGTTTGATTTCGAGTGGTGGCGTTCGTGCCAGGTAGGAAGGATTCGAAACCTGGATGTGGGGAGACAAGTTAGCACGCGTTCCATCGGTCGAAAACTATCGCTGGAGGGTTCGCTCGAATGTGAAGAGGGTGGGATCGACCTCAGACCCGTCGAAGATGAGAGGTTGTGTTGGAGTACGCCGGCAAATTGGATTGCTTCCGCGCGAAGTCTGTAGTGAGAAGAATGAGAGAAGGCGGTTGAGATGACGTTGAATCTGCAGAAGTAGATGGGTCCGCCGCTGTTTGTCAGGTAAGGTAGGGTAGGAAGGAGGGAAAGCCTGCCCCTGTCAAGTGAACTAGTGCGGAAAGAACGCCTGGGTGTCCCTGCCTGTGATGTGATGTGAGATGGAGGTGAGGTGAACTCGGAGCTTGTGCCTGCCTTGATTGGATCTCGAATTTTGGTATCATGTGCCTGGGATGCCGTTCTGCTCTTTTCCCAATCGCCAAGGATTTGGGGCATCGCCCAGTGAAGTCAAGATGCAGTACCTGCGACCTAATGCTGTGCCCAGAAAGCGCTAAGCGGTCCTGCCACGGCTGGATTTGTGCCGCATTTCTTGGCTCTCGATGGTCCTATTGACATCATTCCTCGAGTCTCACCACATCTTGTGCGATGTGACTGTGAGTGACATGTCAGGTTGATATCGCTGCAGGAGTTCTTGTGCATCCAGAATATCACAGCGATGCTCATCTTCGGTTTCCCATCGACACCATGGAGACATGTCGTCGGGTTCGTTTCCTGGGCACGTGGAAGGAGCTTGCGTGCTTGCCTTAGTAAGGTAGGTATGCTTTTTAAAGTTGAGACTAGAAGGTCGCAGTGCCCATTAAAAAAGGTTGGCGGGACCCATTCAAACTTCAACGGCGTCGGTTTTGCAACGTCCGCCGTTGTCCATCTGAAAATCAATTCTCTGCATGTCAAATGCAACATGGATGCAAGAATACAGTCCAGATATGCCTGTATCATGTAGCGAATGCGTATGCGGCCACAAGCACATCGCGTCGTTCTGTCTGCTGGAAGCCATGTGCCGTCTTCCAACTTACGTCATGTCACAGGAGCCGCCTAAAGAGGTTGCATCTAAGGTACGGTGAGTTCCCCACTATATCGTGCTCACCTCCTTACCCGCGGACGAGTACCCCGTCTGTGGGAATATTCTCACCATTTTCTGTCTTCATTTATTTGTTTATGTTTGTTTATGTTTTCTGCCTTTGCTGGCTGCTCGGGCGGTTCTCGATATCGATTACACGGTATTAATACACAGTATTAATAGATACTCCCACTGTCTCGATAGACTATTTTTTGGATTTTCCACCTTTTCAACTTTCCCTCCTGTAAAGTTCACAACCACGGATTATTGACGGCGATATTGGGCGCCCGACGCTGTCTTCATTTCTATATTTCATTCTAGTGCGGATAGTAGGTGCATAAGTTCTCTGAAGGTCTGATATATCTTTCATTATCCGGAGAAGTGGGCCGTTCGCATTGAGCACGCTGCGCAATAAGCATCTGTACCTTCCTTACCAAAAAAACCTCCGTCCGCTACCTCCATAGCCGAAGAGTTGATGCTTGTAAAACCGAACTCGGCGAGGAAGGAGAGTCGCAGGATTCGTCTTCAACCAAATATCAAGCGGATAAGTTAGGGGCATCTATGGAATTTAAACGTGTCGCTGGACAAAGTCCTTTCTGATCCAAGCTCTCCGCAAAATCTTTCTTCCACTTTCAAATCTCACCAATTGTCCGAGAATGTTAGCGACACAGCTCTGGCAACCAACTCGAATCCAACGAAAAGTCAATTACATTGAACACTGAAAGTATGTTCTCGCTATACGAAGACGATCAGCAGTCTTTTAGTAAGAGCAATTAGAAACAGCCCACGTGAGGATGATGATGAGAATGAGCTGGTTCGGGAAAAGGGGTTTGCGTTCATGTGAAGGACTCTTACCTTCAGACTGCTTCGACAGCCTGAGAGTGGTCAAAATACCTGTACCCGTCGTTCCATCTCTACAACGTCGCGATACGACTTTGGCTCGATGTTGATATCTCAATTGACTCGAAGGAGAAGGTAGGGTGCTGTGAAACAAACATCTTCGGAGGTCGCGCTAGCCTGCCCCACCCGTTCACCAAATTCAGCACCTACCCACCTCAGGAGCTATCCATGGATACTTCAAAAGTCCACCAGTTGGTCCCATTTCATTGAATCTGATTCGAGCTCGAGCTCGAGCTCGATCTCACAGCCTCACGGAAGACCACGTTACTCCTGCGTCGGAACGTGGGAACGTCACAAGTGACAAACACGCTCACACCGATGGACTAAACCCAGATAGGACCAGGAACAAAAGCTCCAGCACAAAAGCTCCAGCACTGCAGAAGGGGGAGCAACATCTACGTAGTACTCTCTCCCAAACGCAGGTTCACCGATTAGGAAAAGCCGGGAATCCATTCGCTCATTCACGCTGGAAGAGTAGACGCGATTAATCAGAAAAGCACTCTATAGAATAGTGGAATATTGACTGATCGGGATGAAAATGGAGAAGAGCCCCCGTCGCCGGAAACTATCCGACTTGGGGCTTTGCCGTTTTCGAGCCGACTCGGACGGGAGAGCCGGGGTCGACTGTCTAATGTAGATTGTGTTAGCGCCCAAACACCCTGTTCAGGATGCGCAGAAAGGAGCCTCTTCTTCACGACCGCCTTCCTCTTGGGCTCTGATATCCTCCCCCCAAGAGTCTTGTTGTCCCCCTTCTCTCGTATTTCTGACTTTTCTCCTCGCTTAAATTCTTCCTTTCCACTAACGATGCGTTTCGCAGTATCCGAACTGTCAAAGGATGCTACGTCTAGGACTCTAGACCACCCCATCCACCGCATGGGTAGGGACGGTAGTGGATCTACAGATGGGGACGACAGCCGGGATCTGATTCAAAAGGGGCAACGTGAGCTCACCTAGATCGGCTGGGACCACTCGATCTGGCATTTTATTCGTATTCTGCCAATAGCACAGCCCTTTTGGCAGGGGCGATTCGAACGGGGTCCGCGAAGCGAGGCTCTCGTCAAAAGACGAGAGTCTGGTATGTGGGAGTAAACTGCTCGTGGTCCTCGTTGGTGCGAAGATACAATATATGCTACTCAACCGCTGTCTTTACACTTCCGCTTAGTCTCTCTTCCTCCTTCCTCCCTCCTTCCATCCTTCTCTCCCTACAGGTGCCGCAGTTCAAGCCAAGGCAATCACTCGTTCTGCCTTGTGCTGTTATCGTTCGTTTGATCCCTGCCGTACATTACACTCCAATCGTTCACAAACCGACTCTCTTTACATCGTATCTTCTTTTGTCTGTTGTTCTTCGTTCTCTTGGATAATCGACCACTGCCTTAATACCATAATCTTCTCATCAACTGTGTGAACATGCGTTCCTTCGCAACAACACTCTCTTTGCTGGCCGTCGGGGCCCTCCAAGGCGTCTCGGCCTTGGATGCCGCCGGATGGAGAAACCAGAGCATCTACCAAATCATCACCGACCGTTTTGCCACCTCTGATGGCTCGACCCCAGTCTGCGATATCACCCCGGGCCTGTACTGCGGCGGCACCTGGAAGGGCATCACCAGCAAGCTGGACTACATCCAGAACCTTGGTGCCACCGCCATCTGGATCTCGCCTGTCGTGAAGAACGTCGAGGGAAACGTTGGCGGCAACGGAGAGGGCTACCACGGCTTCTGGACCGAGGACCTCTACTCCATCAACCCGCACTTTGGTACTGAGGCCGACCTCCTGGAGCTCTCCAGCGCCCTCCACGCACGCGGCATGTACCTCATGGTCGACGTCGCCCCCAACCACTCCGGTCTGAACGACTCCCCCGGCAACTACACAAAGTACAAGCCCTTCAACAAGCCCGAGTACTACCACAAGGAGTGCTCCATTAACTGGAACAACCTCCAGTCCGAGCAGCTCTGCTGGCTCGAGGGTCTGCCCGACCTCCGCACCGAGGACGACTTCGTCCGTAAGATCTACGCCGAGTGGATCAAGGACCTCGTCACCAAGTACTCCATCGATGGCCTCCGCGTTGACACCGCCCTCGAGATTGAGCCCGAGTTCTTCACCGAGGGCGGCTTCCGCGAGGCCGCCGGCGTCTTCCTTCTCGCCGAGGTCAGCCACTCCTCCCTGACCCTGCTCGCCCCTTACCAGAACTACCTCGACGGCATCATGGACTACAGCAGCTACCACCTTTTCGCCACCGTCTTCTCCACCCTCGAGGGCGACATGGACAAGGTCTACGAGAGCGCCAACACCATGGCCGGCATGTCCTCCATCGACCCCTCCGT